CTATGAAACTAGCTTCTGAATGTGGCATTTCTATCGTTATTCCATAAAAGCTACCCCCCCCCCCCCCCCAAAAAAAAAAAAAAAGAATGAATACATCAATGGGCATGCTCTGGAGTGTTGGTATTTATTACCTGCACTCCAGTTACGCACTGTGCATGTATATGAATTCGATTTAACTCTGACACGTTTTCAACAAAAAAAGTCTTCAAACTATGATACAATAAATGTTATGATTCTATTAGAAACTTGTTTAGAATTTAATGATTTTTTGGGTGAAAACGATATAGTTTACTTGTACTACAGATAAGATCAAAGTGCTGAAGGCACTGAAGAAAAAACGGATAAACTATCACATTTTCACTCCAGTTTCACAGGTAAATTAATTTTATATGTCGCGGTTTACATCTAAATATCAGCTAACCTTTGCTTTTTGAGACTTTTGTTTTTTGAAAATAATCTAAACGAGTAAAATAAATCCTCTTTATAGGCAAATAATTTAATAAGTAGCATCCCCGATTTCTCTTTTCATAAATTGGCTTTAGCAAATTCTTTTCTATTCAAATATTAAGAACATTCTGTCAGTGACGTGTCCTCTACTTGAAATCTTCCTGGTGTGTTTTTTTTCGGTAACAGGAAGAAAATGACAGTCTGTTCGTATCATTCGGTAAACAGGAAGAAAATGACAGTCTGTTCATTTGATCTTGACTGTGAAAAAATCATGTTTTGTGAACCAATTTATCCTGCCGATAAAGATTTTGCAAGCAATCTGGTGGTTTATGTTCCAAGTGCTTACACTTAATTTTAATTCCAAAAGAACATTTCTTAGGAGACCTTTAACGTTTGATTACGGTATTATCACTATAATCGAAATACTTAGGAATTAATTTTAATTCCTGTTACTGTGAAATTTTTTCGTTCACGTGTTTTAAAAATACTTAAGTAGCTCTAAAATTTTCAAAACGATATCCAGTATTTCCGAAACAATTTACAAAGGCTTTTAATACACAATCTTATGAATCTTAAAGTATTACGAGAACCACCCATTTAATCTCCAGAAATACATACGAAAAACAAGATAAATCAAAAGGCTGCAAGCTCTGTGGTATTTTCTGATCTTTGCAATATAAATCGCACTGTACAACTGTATTATTTTCCTGTATAAGTTTATTTTTATGTACTATAATTCTTCTTGCTTGGTACCAGAGTTTGAATTATTTTGCATGACTAGAGTTGCATCAAAAATCATTTATGTTCATTTTTATGACAGCCACACTTTATCCTTGCATATCGTGGCTATTTCCTTAACAAAGAAACTTTATAAAAATAATTGCCTTGAATTGGATTTGAACCCCAGACACACTAAACGAGCGCGTTACCCTTGCACCACGGAGAAGATATACGAACAATGCCTGAATAAAATCAAGTAATACTAAATTTAGATTTTTCACTGCATTTCGGGTTAATTTCGAGGTTTTTTGTTCAAGATAAACCTGTTCTTTAACATTGATGCAAATAATTTAACAAAAATATTCTCGCCAAAAACAGTCCGACATGTATATATTCCACTACTCGACAGTCAGATTTTTTTGTGAAATAAGCTCTCGACATCGCTTAAATAGCATTTTCATTGATTAAAATGATATTCATCCGCGTAATTTTGTGAATGTGCATTCATTGACAATTCTATAAGCCAAAGCTACTTTTTGACTTTGAATGCGTTGTAATTTGTTGGATACTTATAACAAAATGAAAATATTTCTTTCTTTTAAATCGGTAGTTTTCAGGGTGTTTTAAGAACTGTTTGTTGTTAGATTTGTCGTGAAACCGCTGTGTCAGAGATTGAATGTTAGCTTTGTATTTCCTAATCTTCGATCAGAAATACAAAAAGGAATGGTAACATTCAATGAATACAACACCCACACGACCAAGCAAAACAGGACCACAGCTAAATTATCAATGAAAACATTAATTTCAGGCTTTCAAGTGGTAAATAAAAAGAATAAACAACAAAAATGAAAAACAGGAAGAAAGAAGAGACAAAAGTAGAGAAAAGTAAAGGTTTTCGTGCTATAAAGAAAGAAAAGCACCGTTCTCTCCCTAACTTATTTATGCAAATGAAATGCATCCGATCAATATTTAAGCCATTGTAGTTTTTGAAACCAGTCACTCGTGTTTTCAAATAGTCGGGAAATGAACCCGACTTTTTTTTATCAAAACATTTACAAAACTATTAACAATGAGTATGCCATTGATAAACAGGCTATAAGGAGTAAAAACAATGGTTTATATATGCATTGCCCTTTACCGTCTAGGAGTTGGAAGTATTATAAAACATAGTTTAAGCAATGGTTGTTGTATGAGGTGAGGTTAATAATATCTTACTGAATTCTTAAAGTTACTTTTTACTTACCTGCCCTTCACATTTGTCTTGCTGTATCATGATTTTGTTTGTTTTCGTTTAATTTGAAAGAAAGTTAGGGTTTAAAAAACAACAACTATATAATCAGTTTTAAGTTTATTTCACTAGTCACGGCAATAACCCTGCTGTGGAAGCTTGACTATGTCGGGGCTGCGTCATGTGAACGTTGCCCGTCGCCTTGATTGTCTTTATTCCAGTTTTCCTTTTTTACTCTTATAACGCTCTCAATTTCTTTTCCACCGGGAAGCTTTCAATATATTGGTAACATTAAAGCACAGCTCAATTGACCCATCACTAGTACGGAGGCCTTCCAATAAGAAAAAATTTATCAGGATATCTGCTAAATCAATAATGATAATAATAATATTAATAGAGCCAGATTGTAACTCTTTTCCGACCTTCTTGATAATGTTTACCATGTGCATGAAACAGGTATCAATTACCTATAGTTTTGAATGTCTAAATCAAAACATAGTAATCTTTTCATCAACAAAGTTTACATCCAATGCGGATAAATATGCAAGTATGTATGTAAAATGATAAATATTAAATTTCAGATCTATCTAGCAAAGGAGATCGATTTTTTCTTAAAGAATTTTATTATGTGCACTAGACATACATTAGAAATATTATCTAATAAAGTTGAAGCCTAAATGTCCTATAATGAGGCCGGATTCATTCTCTATTTAGCCAGTGCTTTCAGTGCTTTGATCAGAGTTAAAGAGAAAATTCTGGAATAACATTCTGTGTGTGCATGTGATTTTTTTATGCTTACAATACTCAAAATTCATGTTCGTTGTATAAAAGGTATTACGAAGTTTTTTTTTCTGAACGGGTGTCAGATAAACCAAGTGACCTTTGAAATAGGACCCATTACACTGATTGACAAAGTAAATTTTCTTAGCCTAGATATCATGATATTTTAACCATTACAAAGTTAATACATAATATTAATAATTACACGAAAGCTCTTTAAATTAACATAGAATATTTGTAAAAATTGTGTATGTCAGTTTCGAACTCCGTACGTTTAGCTAAATTCATCATTGTAATGGAGAAAAAAAACATGATTACAACAATGTAATGCTTTAAATATATTGAAATTGCTTTTTTGAAAGATTTTTCTCACAAGAACATATGTGAACAACAAGAAATTTAACAAACAAACCCATTATTTGCTTTTAAATTTATGGATTGTTGGTATATTCCGGTTTCGCACTTTCGTTGCTGCCGATACACAAAAAATTCTCCGTTTCGCTTTTTAGTCATCCCGAGAATCATCACGTGACCGTTGTTTTTATTTCAGATTTGCAAACTGAAAGGTGTTTAAACGCTTTTCCCACAAAATTGGAGAAAATATGTATTTCAAACGACTTGCCAATCCAAAGAACACATATTTCAATGTATCACTGATTCTGTTTGAATGTCCCTAACTCGCAGGTAACAAAAAAATATCGGTTCGTGAAATTTTACTTTTTTTTGTGACATTCGGCCGTACCTCAGTGGAGTACCTTTAACAATTAAGCTATATCAAAATCTACTGTATATGATATCTCTAATTTATTGCAAGCATATAGTTTTCTAAACGAACATAATAGGATAAAACTGGTCTTTTGTAAATTTTATTTCCATGTACTGGGAGAAAAAGTTTACAATATTAAAGGCATCATGATTATTATTACAACTCAATGCTGTTAATTTAACCCTTACTAACATAATGGTTCCTAACACAGGGATATACCTATGCATTCCTCATCAATAAAACAGTTTATAATTGTTAAAATAGTATGATCTAAAAATTTTACATGCTTTTAATTTATGTTATAAACTATAATATTATAGCAACCTGATCAGTTAGGTTCAGCAATTTTTCAATGATTTCAACATAACAATTGACAATCATGAGGGAGGTTTTTCATCAAACAATTTACTTGTTTTTTGTTATTGGTTGTTTTACTGAAAAAACCTATTAACCATTAAAATTAAAAGATATATTATGCTCAAATTTGATATTTGAAAATAAATGATAATAAATATACAGTTCCTTCTTAACTGTCAGATAAACATCTTTTTAGGAAAGACAGAATATAATTAAATTTTAAAACTCTACACACTTTAATTAGGTAAATACCATATGCAGTTTCTTTTTCTTTATAAAAAATACTGGACCAGTAGGGAATGCGCCTTCCTAGACATAGTTTGTGAATTCTATAATCTAAATTAGACATATTCAGTAAGAATTTCAGATTTCAATAAATTTCTGCAATTAAAGAACTTTACTCGAAGATGAACATAGAACATTATTACATATTATTCTGTATGAACTGTTCTAGATTACAAAATAATCGTAGAACATCAACTTTTTCTAAAAGTTAATATAAAAACCAGCTTTTCTATTAATTCATGTATTTGAATATATGTAAAAACATCACCAGAACTCTATATGATTTTGTTGAATGGAGTTTTTAAATTATATTCACATCATAAACATACACTGAAGATGAAACTCTTGAAAAAAACAATCTTTAAATTAATTTCACACCTTTCATGATAAAATTCCTCTTTTTTTAAAACAAACATTCATTATAAGTTACCTTCACTTCATCAAGGGCTGTCATTGATGGGAAAATTTTGTTAAATATGGACGATATATCAACTGACAGTAGCTACAATGAAAAACATTTAAATATGTGTTATAAATTGAGATCATGGTGTTATGCATGCTGTGTTAGACATTACAAACACAACAAACTAACTTAACTTGTATAGATATTTTTCAAACAGTGTAATGATACAATATTGGATGATGAATATTGATGATATATTGATATTGCGATATTCAATGACAAGAGCACATCATGTGCCTAAAACTTACCTAGAAATTGTTCATATCCCATCTAAAAGATGTGTAAAATAATAGTTAAATATTAAAAATAAAGGTGCTTTTACAATATAAACAAAGTGTTAAAAATACAAGAAAATGTTAAAATAAACATAGCAGCTATAACATGTAACTAACAGTATCATGATATGTGAACACATTGTTATAAACTGAACACATCAGAGCACCTTTAAGTGTTTGTTTTCTCCTCAACTGTCAGATTTTTTTTCAGGTTCTATAAATATTTCATTCAAAACCACATGGTCATATTTTTCAAGCAATATGAATCTTCGTTTCCATTCATTCACGTTTCATTCTTGGACAAACACACACCAGAAAGTAAAACTGACGTCTCATTTCTTTCCTTTTACAATATTGTTGACTTTTTCTGTGAGCTGTTGAAGGTCGATATTTTTGTCTATTTTTAGATATTTTCCTTTCTTTATCTGTATACTAGAGATCCATTCTGGGGCAACCTCTATACACATGTTAATATGAGGTTCAATATCTCCTGAAAATAAAATATACAAGAATTTTTAATGTCCATCTTGACCTACACTTTAAGATTGCTAGGCATAAATCTGTAATAATCCGCAGAATTATCCTTTTTCTAAATGTGTCTATTGTTTATTTGAGGATTTTATCAAATAAATGATGGTAATAAAACACTTTTAAATAATGAACACTTTCCATGTAGCTTTTAATTTGCTTGAGAAACTTGTTTAAGCAAGCCAGACTATACAAGCCTCTGTTTTGTTCGTAGCATGAACAGGGTATGGATAAAACCATGAACCTTCCATAAAATGGATCACCTGCTTTTGAATACTAATCAGAATAAAAGGAATTTGTAAGAACTAGAAAATAAAAAGCAATTAATCTTCAAGTCAGCATTCAAAAGAAAGCACTATAAAGGCCCATTGAAATACCCATTGACTGCACTATTATCAAGGCACACAAATTTTTGGTAACTACACATATTAAAACAGCACATCCCTGATTAATACCTGTTTAAACATTTTTTACAGGAAAAAAAAATGTGTAAGGCTGGCGATAGCCTCATCGGGTACACAAGTCCGTGGAAACAGTAGTTTCCGAGGGGCTCAAGGTTTTCATGTCCTTTGGTCAGACTGCACATTTTTTCCTCGTCCTTTGAAACCTGGACAAAATAACCCTTAAACATTGTTATCAATCGTTACAAACCTTGTGCAATGCTTGTCTTGTAACTGTCTAATACCCTTTGTATAACCGATTCTATAGGTAAAGCTGGTTTCTTCTCCGTAAGAAAGTGTGAACGTATGATCCTCATCACATCTGGTAAACGTTTCAGCATCACAATACGCTTCTCCTCCTTAGGATTCCTGGTCAGAGCTGCGGCCGTGTTGGCAGCCTCCTTAGCTCGAATCTTTTCAAGCAAAGAAAGCGGGACACCTTTCATATTAGATAATGGCTTGGGTTCAGGAGCTTTCTTCGGGGTCGAGACTGGTTCATGGGTGGATGATTTCTCTGATTCCAGCATAGTGGCCCTTAGTGCTGCCTCAACCTTTAACAAAAATATTACCAAATAATGACTAAAAATCCACATCAGATAGATTCTTTTTCAGATGACTTAAAAATCAATACATGTATCATAAATTGAGAGGACCTGCAAAGTATTTTCCTCCATTTGTTTTATTCAAAGGAAAATAAAAATTCTATATAAAGTTACTTTTTTTTATCTGACAGCTATAAGTGCAAACAGAATACCTGCAATACTCAACGTGTATTACAATTTAATGCTATCAAATATACAAGTAAATAAATACCTTTCAACATGTACCAGTAACTGGAGGTCTTAAATGTAGATTTAAAAACTTGTTCTTACACAACTTTCAAGTAATCATACCTTGGGTGAAAGATTTCTTGTAGTTGTACTCTGTAGGACATCTTTGGCAGTTTGATAAGTCTGTACATCTGGGGGCTGAGGTAGGGGACTTTCTAAAATATCTGGGACTTCATCAAGAGGAAACTTTGGATGCCATCTTGTTATTTTGTCATCAGGTATTGTTAAAGGTCTACTTAGCTTAGATAAAAATTCCTGTGCAAAAAAATTAAAATTCTTTTAAATAACAACAACAATCGGTGTGGAATCTAGAACTTCAAAATTATTGGGGATTGTCTTTATTAAAATGCGTGATCACAAATATATGCGCAAATCGCGCAACCTAGATGCAACATTGAACAAGGAAAACCTATCAACAACAAAAACAAAACTATCATTACAAATAAGCATAATTATATTAAACTGGCTCACAAAATAGACTTTTACCACTTGTAATATTTCAATTAAATAATTCAAAGATAAAGTTTTATAAAATCAAATATAACAGGTCCATACTTCTGTGAAAATCCATATGAGAGTAAGTGTCACCAATGCCAATGTCTAGGTTTGAAAATAACTTTCCCATCCTTCGAATAGTCAAGCTAAAAATTGGCTATATATAATGAAATAGGGAAACAAGATGATGGCCTTAACATGCTTTAGTGGCAAGTTTTATCTACATGTGAGCCTTGGAAGCAGTTGCTCACAGTTTTTTTTCTTTCTCCAAAGTCTACATCATGTTTACCATTTGTGTATATCATTATATTAGTATTATCTCTTATCATTAAAGTTGTGTTTTTTTTCCTCAAGAAAACGATGGTTTTCAAATGATTAATCATTGTTTCATAACTCACCTTGTGGTGCTGTTTCACAACCTGTACCAAATTGTTATGGAAAACATTTCTCCTTGCCAGAAGATGGGATGCCTTGAATGTTTGACGGGAGTTCTTGCAATCTGTAAGGACATGGAAATTTTGGCTAGATATTGTACAGAAAATATTACAGGCTGGTACTTAACCTGTAACCCTCTTAATTTCTTTAATGGACATTTCCAGCTTTTGTTTTTGGAACTATCTATTATCAATTACAAGGTTATCAAGTTGAAAAGTTGGTTAGCCAACAGTATAATTATAGAGTATCTAATTGTTGACATTTTATAAAATATAGGCTTCCAAATAAATTACAATTTGAAATAACATAATGCTTAGAAGAACACTTTTGAATACATAAAATCTTTCGACTTCTGTTATGTCCCTAAAATGTCTAATTATTTCAAGTTGTGACCTAATACCTAATATTTCAAAAAAAGGAAGTTTTCCACAAAAAAGTAAAGTATTTTTTCATTTTACAAAACAAGGTTCAAAGAATCAATGTCTTGAAACATTCCGTTTTTCCAATTTTGACCAAATTTAAAATATTGAAATATAATCTCATACTAGTTAGTGTACTCTTCTAGCTTACACTAAGATTATCATATAACATTCAACTTAGTAAACTGTAAGGTTTGGTCAAAGTTGAAGGACGTTCAGGCTTACCAGATGTTCTAGTGGTATTAAACTAGCATTTTCTTTACTATAATTATGTAAAAACTTACCTGGGTCATCCAGCCTTGCAGCCACTGTAAGCTGGTACCCAGACTGTTTAAAACCCTGCAAGTTTTGTATACCTTTCTCCTGTCTCAGCTCATAAGCTTCAGGGTATACTGTTTTGATCTTGCTTACATGCTCTTTTTCAAAGTTTCTGAAATTTAAGTTCATTTTTAGTGTGATATTATTTCATTTAAAAGTAACGAAAAAAATGCTACATAATGATAGCTCCTTGAATAACAATTTTAAGTTAATGTGAAGCTGAAAATTAATGTTTGAGAACAAAGTAAATGCATGTGAAATGGGAACAAGTTGAAGTTAAACAATGAAAAATTAGTTTTTCTAAAGATTTTATGCAATAATAAAAGTTATTAGATTCTTTTTTTAAAATATAGGTGTGAATTGCGATCCAGTGATCTTAGGACTAGTGAATACCCCATATGTATTGTCAAGGTCTGAAGTGCAAGTTTATTGTTACAGCTCTAATATAATAAGTTGAAGAACTACATTTTTTCACAAAATACAATAAGGAAAACAGAAATGTGTAAAAAATTAATAACCTTTTAGTCAGTTGTTGAACAGCATGTTTCAGTTTTGAGAAAGTACAATTTTCATTCCTGTTGTGTAACATACTGATAACTTGATCCATGCCTCGGAAATGTTCAGCTAGAAGGCGATACTTGTAGGGTAAGCTTAGAGTCGGAGGTGCCTCGGTGGCAAGATGATGAAATCTCTCATACGCTGGAACTTTAGGCTTAGTCTCACTGAATAGAAGAACATATCCAATGTTGTGGTATGCTACTCAAAAAATGCAAGACGATAATTAGAAGTAAATCAATAATAAATGTTTCTGGTTGTAATCTTATTTTTTAATATTAAATTTTTTCATGTAAACAGAATGTGTACTTCCAATATACGTACAGTGAGGTTGCAGACATTTACACGTTTAAAGCTAGTTTTGATCGTCTGGATAAGAACGCAAGTCAATATAAAACCCATTTTATTAAAGGGACTCCACTGAGGTTTTTTTGACATGATGGGAATGAAAATATTTTTTCCAGATAAATGTACCATTTAATGTAAATTAGTAACCACTAATCTTTGTGCACAATTCCACATCATCTCGCACTTCGTTTTTCCAGAATAATTTTCAAATTGTTCCAAAAAATTGATCCAAAATGAAAAGCATGTAAATGCTTTTCACTTCAAATTGGGGCAGAGGAAAAGATAAACATACTTTTTCAATTTTATTTTTAAGTATATTTCTTAACTATCTTTTGCATCTTATCTTTTTAAAAGTGCCCCCGCTCATTTAAATGTTAAGAAATTTAATGTTATTTTTTAGGGTTTTTAAGACCCATGGACGCCTTTTAACAAATGTAGCCATTCCTAATTTTTTGAAATTTATAAAATGCATTCTTTTATTAGATTATTTTCAGAATTTCAAGATTACACAATTTACAAACTGAATTACCTTTCCCTCCTTGAACTTTAATCCCTAATTTTAAAATCGAACGATTTCTTCAAGTTTCGGTTAATTGGCGGTATTTTCCCTCTCTAGTTTCCTTCATCTAGCAAAGACGAGCCTTTTTAAGTCGTTCAAGATAACTTTGGAAGGGTTGGTCTTCATTCTCTTGGGTAATATTTTCAATTGAAACAGCAAAGGGTATTGTTATTTTGTAACAGATAATAAATTTAGTGTTGCATCTAGAATTTCAAAATTATGGGGGATTGTCCCTCACTCAACTGAAAAATGTGGGGGACATACATTTTTTCTTACAATATGACATACCGAAAAGAATTCATGTATTCTACATTTAGACATTTTTGACAGCTATTGTCCGCTCAACAACGGAAATAGAAAAAAATAAAATATTGACGAATACTACAATACACAAGCGAGATGACCCAGTCCGCTGCTAAACGCCTTTTAGTATATTTCTGTTTGATCATTGACCAGCAACAGCAAAGATTAGCCAATCCTTATTAATAAAGCGATTGGTATGTTTTCATTTAAAAATTTAGAATAATGTTCTTATCATTACAGAAACGGTCAAACCTTGATGTATTCAAAATAATTTTTTTCTTTATCATAAAATCTGATAATAATATGGAATTATTCAACAGTTCTACTAGGAGAGTAATAAAACAAATATAATATTTTATTACACAGACATGTATAAATGTATTTCATATTTCATTATTGATTTGACAGAAAACAAAATTACAAACCTTATTAAGGAAACCCGCAAAATTCAAATTTGTTACAGGTTCACAAAATTTTAACCAAGACCCAAAAGGCTGATCTTAACCAGAAAAAAAATAATTTTCATTTCCTATTAAAAATATGAAACTCTTTATGATAGACACTTCTGGTACCTAACAAGCTAGGAGGTGTAATGAACAACTTTAAATCAAAATCAAAATGTCATAAAAATATTTTTATTAACTTGATTTTGCATCTATATCAAATTTTGTCTGACCTAAAGAGTCCCCAACAGGGGCGTTTGTCTAAAATGAAAGAGAGATAAAGTTGTTCAACAATGGTAAAACCCTCAAGGGCAAAAGTATCTGTAATAAAACTTTGAAAGTATTCCCTACAGATTTATCATTTTAAATCTTTAAATGAATGCATGTTTATTGTTATATATACTAAAATGCCTGAGGCTATTCATGTAATCACGATGCTGTAATGATTTATACCTGTGCCTTTTTTTCTTTCAAATTTTTGCATTTGTTGAGAGCAGCAGCAACAGTTGAAGATATCTGAACAGTTTTCTTGGTTTCTACTGGTTCAGCTGATGTAATGTTGGATACAGGAGGCATTTCAATTTTCATCTCTGGACCTTCAGAGTCTGTCTCAGGCCTGGAATCAGCATCAGTCTTTTCACTTTCCTGAAGTTTGGAAAAAAGCATAGATATATAATATGTAGTTTAAGTAACAGGACATTAACTTATATAAACAAAAGCAAGTGTTGCTCTTATTGTTAACATTCCAAGGTTCAGAAATTTTTTTATTGTATAGCTTAAAGGTGCAGCACCATTCAGAATAGTCAACTCAGAGTTTAAACTGTTTGAATTTGCTGGAAAACACACTTATATTCTTAATTCTTGAAAGTCTATTGCCAACACAGTAAAGGTCATGGCGACTTTCCAGATTTAATAGTGGAAGAAGACCTTGGGTGCCTTCTGTGTATTATTTCAGGCAGGAGTAGAACCACCAACATTCTGTAAGCTGGCTGGATAGCTTCCTCACATGAAAGAATCTGAAGTGTTGGGTGCAGTCTGGATTTGAACCAGAAAGGTAAAGGGCATGTGTTTTGATTCAAAACTTTTGAATCCCAAACAACCTAAACAACTTAACCACTGACGCCCCTTTAAAACAAATGAAATAGCTTAAAAATAATTTAATTAATAATCTTTAAATCATTAACTTAGTTATACCTTTGTTTGTTTTAGCTGTAGCTTTTTACGAGCTTTGGTTTCTGTCTTCTTAGGCTCATTGTTTATCGTCCTCTTTTCTGGTGTTGCCTCATCGTTTTTCTCTGCCTCTTTCTGACAAGTCTTCCCATTTCTTGCTCTCTTTCGTGTGAGTTTAACTATTTCTGCTTTAACAGGTGTAGAATTTCCGCCATCATGGTCATCCCATGAAGAAGTTACTGATTCTGCAATAGTTGTCTCCCCTTTCACCTCTGGCTCTGCAGATTGTGGCTCTATAAAAGACTGCGAGATCAACTTCTGCTTTGGATCAACTTTAGTCTTACGTGTCCTTGTTGATTTCTTTGCTGTTGAAGATAAAATCTGAACAGTTTTCGCTTTCCTAGACGCTCGTGTTTGCAACGGAGAGAAAACAGTGTTTTCTTTCCTTGCAGCTTCTGGCTCCACATCATTACCTTGTGTCAAATTTCTGTAAGGATTTGCATTAGTTCTATCTAATGAAGAAATATCAACCTCTGTGCTTGTTATTTCAACTTTTCTCCTTTTCGATGGCTGAAGCGCTGGATTTCTTTTTCTTGTTGAGAAAAAATCTGTCACTTTACCTTGAGCCATTGTTACGTTTTTGTTGACACTTTTTCCGCGCCGAAAATCACGTGATTAAATTGTAGACTGGTTAAATATCACAATCTTGAGAGAATAATAATCAGCTGTTTTAATCTAAAACCAGTCAAAACACGGAAGTATTGATCACGTGACTAAAAGATGGCGGACGACACAAACACGAATCCTTTCCTGAGTGACGAAGACGATTTTCTTGAAAATGTGCCTGAAAATGACAATAAATTGAAGGTTAATGCAAATGAGTCGCAAGAAGTAACTTGGGACTCTATTGCCTCAAAGCTTCTCAAAGAGAAGTTAACGTTAACAGCATTAGAACTCCATACTGAATTAGTTGAGGCTGGAAGGGAGCTACCCAGATTGAGAGATTTCTTCTCAAACCCAGGAAATTTTGAAAGGTCTAAGGAAGATTCTCCTCCGTCAACATTACGTATGTATAGCATTTATCCTTTGCTTTCTCTTGTGTTGCTAATTTTATTTTGAACAGAACTCTATGTCAAATTCAGGGTTATGACAGCAGAAGTGCATTTCTGTCTTTAACAGGCTTTTGAAAAAACCCGATAGGGCTTAAAACATAATATGAAATATAAATATGAAAAGTCTATAAACGGGAAGTCGGTTAAAAAAAAATCATTCATTTTTCCGTTTTAAAGGTGTCCTTCTGTAATTCATTCACCGCTTCTGTTCTCACTCAGAATTCTCGACAATTATTATTAATCTGAAAAGTTTCGATTGCCCGTCATCCGAATACCCCACCTATTATCATTGAGTTACATTGAAAAAGGCGTGCCCGACTAGAACTGACACTGAAAATTTCATTGATAGGTATAGAATTTTATAAATTCTTTAATTGTATTTTATTTAATTTTCTTTTAAATATACATGTGTAGTCTATAGCCAGGCAAGCCAAAGCCCGGACCCGCTTCGCGGTCCCAACCGTTGACTTCCCCAATAAAATGTATGTTTAACAGTTTACAATTTGTTGAGGTTTAGAACTGTTAAAAAAACTTAAATATTTAGTTGTTCACTATTTAGTGGTGAAAATATGTCAGTGGCTGTATAGTTAAGTTGGTAGAGCTTGGGATTGGTATTGCGATGGTTTTGGGTTTGAGTCCCCGTCAGACTACAAGTTTTTCCCACCCTCTGACATTTTGCACCTAATGTTATCCTTAACACAGGTTTTACTGTAAAGCACATTTATGTATATATTATATTTAATATACTAAGTTCTTTTGTTTGGTTAAAGGATGTTAATTGATAAGTGGTTTTCTTTTCCAGCAAGGACATCTAGCATACAAACTTTTGATTCATTGGATTTTGCAAGGTATTCAGATGATGGAGAAAGACAAGTTGATGAAAGAGTTGCAGGTTGGAGAATGCTTTGAATATGTTTTAATTTTAAAATTAGAAATTATCAAACAGTTTGAAATGAAATATACAAAATATTTTCTTGAATTGAAATAACTTGTATTAAGGATGCAGGTTATTATTTGTTATAATTAATATAGACAATGATAATTATCCTCTATTATAGACAAAAAACATTTAAGAATATAAAGATATTATGTTGGTTTATTTTGTTGTAATATTTATACAATTTGTGAATTAAAATTTAAATTGTATAGGTTGGGTTTCAGAGTAAATAAAAAAATTAACATTGAATTTACCCACATAAATGCTCTATTCAAAGTTCAGCATAGTTCATTTTAGATGTTTTCTGAGACCATGTCAATTTTTTTTCTTTTCAGTTCTTGAGTTTGAGCTTAGGAAAGCCCAGGACACAATAAAGTCTCTGAGAGCAAGTCTTACAAAAGAAACAGGTATACATGGCATCAGAGTATCTTATAATCTTATCGTTTTCATTAATATGTACTGCTGATACATACATCAAAATTAAGTTTAAAGCATTATTAATAGATAAAGTCATTAAATTAATTTATATTGAATATAATTCAAATTTAAAGTCCATAATTCTATATCTGATGAAATGTTTTATAAGAATTTAAAAGCAGTAAAATTAAGTTGTTTTCATAACCATTTGGTCATAACTTAAAAGATTTATAAAATCAAGTATCTCTGTTATTTAATATATATATTTAATTCTGTATATAAACAGTCTATATTGTTCTGGAACAAAACATTATGTGGTTTGGCGATGATACCTAACCATACATGCCTATCTTGCTTTCAGTGAAATATATTGATACATTTCTTTCATTCATAGTATTCTGTAATCATTTTAATCACAATCGGAAAATTAATTTTACAACCCTAATGCAGCAAATATATAGCTTTATACACTTAAATGCTTTAATGTGAACTGATAATAACAGTAAGATTTTTTTTGCAGAGAATGAGCACGTTGCCCAAGAGACTATGAAAGAAGAAGGAAGGGAAGGTCTTTTCACTGATGATACTATACGACCAATGGAGAAAAAAGCTATTAATTTTGTTGTGAACGAATATCTTCTACAAATCAACAACAAAATTACTGCTGTAACCTTCTCTGAAGAAAATGAGGATCAAGTAAATATATTGTTTTGTATATAATTACATGCTAACTGTAACCAAAACAAATAGTTACAGGTGTTTCCTTCTATCACAATTACATGTATTTACTGTTTCTCATAACACCTTCATTTATTGACCAAAAGCTTGAATTTTGTTGTGTTGGTGATTTCCATAAACCTGAACATTTAAGCAAGGAGACATTTGGAGCAACTGTTTGGTAACTGAAATATTAAACAATTCATAATCATATTCTGCTACATCCTTTAAATATATTTTTTAATTTTTGCTAAAGAGCAAAAGCTGCATGAAATGCAAGTTAGACTCAGGAAGACAGTTTGAGTGACGTGTTTGACACAATGTGAAGTGCATGTGCCTACAAAAAAAATTGCTATATCAAAATTTGTTGCAGCATTTGGTATATTATTGTATATGCTCTCTCCAAATGAAATTTTCATTCATAATCTTTGTTGCATATGGAAAGCAGGATCATTTGAAGTGTAAGGAACAAGTCATAAGCAAAGTTGTGTCACCAAATATTTGTAATTGGTATTAAATTAAACATGGTGAGTATAAACCCCTTGGATTATGAATTTCAGAATTTTGAGGACTGGGATGATGTAGGTCTTAATGTGCCACAACCGCCACCTTTACTTCACCTGTACAGAGACTATAACAACCATGTGATGCCAGATAAAGATGTCTCACATGTTGAATGTCAGACAGAGGCTGATGATAACACTGCAGAAACATTACAAGAATCAGTCAAACAACTTGAAGAAGAGCTTGCAACTGTGAAGAAACATTTGGTAGGTTTGATCCTTACATGAGTTGATACAAAAGCTTTTAACTTTTTGTTTAAGAAAGTCAAGCGATGTAGTTGAAAAGGAATTGGTTAAATTTGTATATTATGAATTTTGAGTTCATCCAAAAGCTTTTCAACTTCTTTTTAGAAAGTCAAATCATCTATTTAAAATAGCACTGGTTGCATTCTTTTATTATTTATTTATTTATTTAAATGCAATGATTTGCAGCAAATTTGTACATAGGTAAAACCAATGTCTCAATTGTACAAGTTTATGTTCAATGAAAGTAAATGAAAATGTGCAATATTGATGTTATTTTGAGTTGTCATCATTGTTGTCATCATTGTTGTCATCATTCAAACATTTTAAAAGTTATCAACATGAACCTTGGAATACAAGAGAATCATGACAATATGCAGGTGTTAGACAAGGGCATAATTTTGAAAGCTATATTTTTGCAGTTATGCCCCTTTTTAACTTAGAATTTTTGTCAAAATTGGTTATTGATAGTCATTGTACTTAACAGATGAGCATTTACACCGCATGAGGTGCTCTTATAATGTTAAAAGATACATACTATTTGCAGGGAGAGAAAATTACAGATTTGGAAGGGAGATTATTGTATAAAGATAAAGAAATAATACGACAAAGAGGTGTAGCAGAAGGGTGAGATTTTTTGTTTGTCATTTAAATATTTTACACTATTTAAGATGTATGAGGCAAGATTGGTATAATTTGTGTTTTTACATTTGAAAGGCGTCCCTGGCCCATTGGTTAGGGTGTTGCCTTCAAAACCCTCATCGCTGTGGGTTTGTAAAGACTCGATCAAACAGAGTCTGCAATTCTTATGTAATTTTGTTGCGATTAATGCTTCCGAGGGATCACTTTGTTTCCAGATTATTAAAATCCAGGCTGAGGACTTTTGATTATTTCATGTGAGGAAGCTGGTTACACAGAACATTCGTGGTTCTACCCAGGTGCCTGAAAAAATGCACGGGGTGCACCTTATGTCTCCTTCCATAAGTAAAGCTGGAAAGCTCCTCCATAAAAAAAAAAGAAAAGAAAAACAAGGAAAAAAAAACAACACCAAAAAACACACATAAAAACATTTGACTGATTTTACTACATTATATTTATGAAAACAACAAGGTACAACTAGAATTATCCTTATTGTTTTCATAGACAGTTATTTGACAATTGTAACATTATAACTTTATGTTTTAGGTCAGAATCAGATCCCCCAAGTCCTTTACAGGAGCAGTCTATATTTGATGACATTCCACCTGGAAGTTACTCCCCTGATAACCAGTCTGATCTGAGTGAGGAAGAAGATCTGCAACATTGTGACTGTGATCACAGTTTAAATGAAAAGTGCCCAGTCTGTGTCAGGGTGCAATCTCCTGAGGTATACAGACTGGATTTTACTGATGAGGGGGACCAGTCTGCAGATCAGGAAGTATTAGACCAGGTTAATGATGAGAATGAAACAGGAAATTCTGAAAATGTAACTAAAAAGGTTGTGAATGATACAGAAAAACCACCTATAAGTGATAAAAGTGATAAAACAGTGGTTAATCCTGATAATTCCATGCAGGAATCCTCTAACAAAATTGAAACTGAAAATTCTGGTTTAGTTGCAAAACAGAGTAAAACAGTTGTTCAAATGTCAAAAGATCTGTCATCAGGAATAGAAAGTAAAGAAAATGCAGGAATAAAAGCCAAAAGAAAAGGGACCAAATCAAAAGATATATGGACAGATTCAAATGATACAAGCAAAAAGAGACATGACATATCAGATAATCGGACAGGAAGTAAATCTAGTAGTAATAGTAAGAAAGGAAAATCAGAGAGTCAAGGTTGTGAAACTGAAAAGTCGGGTAGAAAAATGTCAAATGCATTCAGCAAGGAATTGAAGGATGTTTGTTTTAATGTTCCTAAGGATAACAGGATTATTCTAGAGGTAACTTTATTATTCAAACAATATATAGAGGATACTTAATGAGTGTAAGTTCAATACTGACTTTATTTAACAAGTTGAATAAAATAATATTAAACGAGCCTGTGGCGAGCATAATATTATTTTATTAAACAAGTTCACTATGAAAGGCCCATTACTCTAGCATGGATTTTGACTAAACTATAGCCCTTTTTATTTGTTATGTATCATAATTGCCCATTACTCTAGCATGGATTTTGACTAAACTATAGCCGTTTTTATTTGTTTTGTATCATGTTGTTTGCTTTTCTTTCTTCTATGTTTTTTGTTCACACTGTACAATAGAATTTGTATAGGTTATAAACATTGTTAAAACATGTTTAATGCTGAATAAAATTTTCGTATTCGTATTCGTATAATTTAAAACTTTCATACAAGAAATGTTAATAAAAATGGAGAGCTTAGAAAATTGTTGGTTGTTTGACTATATGTTTAATTGTTTGTCATCCTGATTGTTTTAACTGTATGTTTGTTTTACTATATAATAAAATTTCTCTTTTCTAGGTATCACAGATTACAGACACAGACACTCAGAATGTTATTCTCATGTTGTCAAGGTGTCTGCCACATATCGTACCTAATGTACTGTTAGCAAAAAGAGAGGTACCATTTTGAAAATTCTAATCACAGTTCACTTAAATATATCCAATTTATTATATTTTTGCTTCTTGTATAGACAGCATATTGTGTAATTATAGGCAGTGAAATTGACTTGTATCCTTAAATAATACAAGATTTAGCTTGTATTTATGGGGTGTAAGTTGCCGAGTGGTTAAGGCCATTGACTTCAAAACAACTTGCTCTGAACCACTGTAGGTTCAAATTCTTCCAGGTACTTTTAATTTTTTTTATGTGAGGAAGCTTTCCAGGTTGTTTACAAAAGATCAGTTGTTCTACTCAGGCACTCACTTGTGCCTTAAATGATATACTGAGGGGCACCTGAGGTCTTCCTTCACCAGTAAAGCTGGAATGAATGAATTCAACTGTTTCAGTGTGACGTAAAACTAACAAAAATAAATTTATACTAGAATTTATATGAAATACGTGATCTACATATAATATACAGGTATATCTATTACTATGTGACAGAACTGCATGATTTACCTTGTTTATTGCATGTATTTATAAAAAGATTACACATATGAAATGATGAATTTTGTGCACTGAATTTACTTTAAGTCTTAATAGCTTTTATTTAAAACATCTTTTTGTATACGTATTTTAACCTCTTTTTGAATGTATAATTTGTAAGTACGTATTATCATCTTCAATTTTCTATTTTACAGGAGTTAATTCCCCTGATAATTTGTACAGCAATGTTACATCCTGACAGTAAAGAGAGGGACAAGTTGCTCAATATTCTCTTTAATCTGATCAAGAAACCAGATGAGGAACAAAGGTAAAGTAACCACAATAGTTTATGAGTAAAGATAACCTTGAAAAAGGATCATCTGATTTGTCTGACAATAAACTGTTACTGTAATACACCAATTAAACAGTTTCAATATAAACCAAGGAATATCAAATGAAGACCAAGAGTTATCTGTCCTTAACTGCGAGTAAAATTGACCTTGCTAATGCTACAATAGTACAAACAATGCTGTTTTTTAACTGCTAGTTTATTTCAATTTATTGTCAAATTTTCAGAATTCTTCTACCAATTAAAAGCTAGTAATTTTTAGCTTCATGTAAATATAAACTTCAACATATCTTTTGACACCAAATTAACTGTTAAACTTACCTCTAGTCAGCCAGTTAACTAGAGAGATATATGCAGCTGGTTATCTTTACTCTAAACACAACTGATAAGTAAAGCCTGACTGCTAGTTCAGAAACTGGTTATTGATGTATTGAGCGAAATTGATCCATATATACATTTTGCCATGATAATATAATCATGGCATGTGCTGTAGATGAATGATTATAAAATCATAAAGGTTGTTACATCTGATAATTAGATTTTATTAGTGAACAAAATGACCCAGTTTTTCTTTGTTAAAATGTCAAAAAATATTTCTAGCCACAAAATGTCCATAAAGTGTTTTGAGCACTTGCATATTCTAATATATAACACAGCAGTTGCATAAAGGACCTTGTCTGCATTAAATTTGGAGAAAAGTCCATTAGATAAAATTTCATTAATACCAAGATATTCAAACTGAATTGTCGACCGTGTAGAGCCTGATCAGAATGCTTAGGTGAGCAGGCACTCCTTAATACTGGTTGCAACAGTTGCATAAAAGACCTGTCCTGTATTAAATTTGGAAAAAACTAGTAGTCTATTAGAAGGAATTTCATAATAAAGATATTCAAACTGAACTTATAACCGTAAAGTGCCTGATCAGACTGCTTAGGTGAACAGGCCTGGCTTAATACTGGTGGTAAAAGCTTTGTAATTTCTGTTTCAGTATTGTAAGTTTATTTTGATGTATAAATTTTCAGGCATATGATATTGACAGGTTGTATTGCATTTGCTCATTATGTGGGACCAACAAGAGTAGAGGCTGAACTATTGCCTCAGTGCTGGGAACAGGTCAGTCATTCATCTAAATAATCTAAATAGATACATTCCCTCAACTGTTCCAAAATAATTCCTGTAATTTTTAACTGTACAATTTGAAGAATATGGAGAGCTATTGTATTCACTCAAACATCAGCATTACACTTTGATGAACTGCACAGTTCAGTCTTTTATAAGAATCAATTAAACCCAAAATTTTCAAGCAACTATGTATAAAGGTAAAACAAATTTCTCAATTGTCCAATAAAATGAACGAGTGGTATTACTATTATTTTTACTTTACTAATTGAAGAATAGGGAGAGCTCTTGTACTCACCCTTGCATTGGCCCCTGTGTCACGCTTTGGTTAATTTTTTGCGTGTAAGTTGATTCCTCTAATAGTAATGAAGGAAATGGTTTGAAACTTCACACACTTATTTGAGAGCAAAATTAGAGGTCAATATCAAAAGCTCATAACTATAACACAGGTTTTGACAGAATTATTGCCCTTTTTGAACTTTACATTATTTAGTATCTTGTTTTACTATCAAACACTTAGAATAGTCAAGCACGCTGCCCTACCAATAGCTCTTGTTAAATTAGATTGTTTAATTTGTTTCAGCTGTTTCAGTATGAATTTCAATTGCTGGCACTTACTGTTCTCAATTGTATTTTAATTTATTGAAGTGCATTTTCAAGTGTATTTTTAATACTTCCATTAATGTTACATATGGTTTACTGAAGTTAAACCTTGATTTTGAGATAAAGGGGTAATTTTAATGAAAATCATTCAAGAGCTTAGCAAGTGTTATTTTTTTTGTTATTCAGTTGTGAAGTAATATTAGGGATACAGTCAAACCTGTAAACAAATGCAACATGAAGGAGCAACAGAACATGGCCTTTATAGACAATTGGCCTTTATTTGGAGGTTATTCTATTCTGTTTAATCAATGAAGGTTTGTCGAAGGTTGGTCTTAATTTACAGAATGGTCTTTATGAGGATGTAGTCTTTAACATTGGTTTGGCTGTACATTGTAATATAAAAGTGCTTTTATTCCTCCCATGAATACAAATAAACAATTAATTCATGATTTTTCTGTGTTTATTTAAGATAAGTCACAAGTATATGGAGAGGAGATTGCTGGTAGCAGAAGCTTGTGGGGCTTTAGCTGGATATATCCCTGTAAGACATTTAATACATAAAACACAAAGATTTATATCTATATGAGAGTTTCTGGATTTGTTATCTCCCCCTTAAAACTCAAAGACAAGATCTATATCAATAATATAGCATTTCTGGATTTGTTATCTTCCCCTTTAAAACATAAAGACAAGATTTAAATCTATGATAAAGCTTCTAAATTTGATGTCTGCCTCATTCATGTACTGTAGTACAATATTGTCTGATATACACTTTCATTTTGTTCAAATATACACAAGCAGGTATTTAGTTAAATAGTATTGAGTGATTCTGTGCCAATGCTACCATGATATTATTATAACAACAGACAACTTCTCCTCAACTTTAAATGGTATTTGAATCAGTGTATAAAGACGTATGATCTTGTATAGATTTGTTTTTACTATATTTTCACTGTAATAAATATTTAGCATTCAAGGTCCAACATCTCTAGATAAAATGCAAAATCATCATTATTTGTGGGGCAGATATTTACTAGGCTATTTCAATCCACGAATTAATGGCCAAACAAAATTTTATTTCATCTGCTGTAAATTAATACTTTTTCTTGCAAAAATTGACAATCCTTCAATTTAAGAACCCACAAAAATTTTCTTTATGACAAAACCACGAAATTTCATGCTGATGTAGCTCCGGTATAAGACATTCATTTTTCATGATTTCAGAGTGAATTACGTAGCTCTCTGGTACTGTCCATGCTACAACAGATGTTACAAGATGACAAGGAGGCGGATGTTAGAGAAGCCGTAGTCCGTAGTCTCGGACTTATCATTGGGTTTATATATGACAAGGACAAATATCCACAGGTATTATTTTTTTGTATGCCTGCTTGACATTGTCATTCAGTACACTGATAATCAGAATTAATTTTTTTGTCAGTGATTTATTAAATGCAAAGTATTTAATTAGTACATGCAATATATATTTTCAACATAGTTATCAATCTCATTATAATCATATCATAATTGACCCTCCACTGACCTTCTCTAGGTAGGAACATAGCCAGATCTTCGAAGTGAAGAGTAACAAAGCAAAATCAATGAAGCAATGAATTGATTTTAATGAGATTGCGTATGCCGGGTACTGTTGTCCCAGTACTATCGTTTTCTTTTTTAGCAAGTAAAATGATTTGAACAACTAAATTCAGTCAGGTGTTTTTTTTTACAAATTTAAGAACATTATTTACTGTAACTCAGTAGTAAAACATATGCATTTTATAATTTTATCTTTTTATAAGATCATCACATTTTAACTCTTATGTTACAACTGGGATATATAAATATTTAGATATGACATTATATATGTATAGTAAAAATGTCATTTAAGTATGGAAGTAATGAAACACTTTGAACGTTTCAGCTTTAAACTGGTTGATATGATAACACATATATTTTCAGGGGTCAGAGTTGTTGAAAATGGCTCTTAAAGATTCTGCTGAGAAAGTTGTAACTTCGGCAATGCAGATTTTTCTACCGTCTTTCGCAATGTGGGCTTACGAGCTGGGAAAACTGGAACATAGTTTGTTACATGGGATACTGCGGGACCTGGAAGAACTAGTTAAGGCAATTCCGTTATATATGCTAACACCCAACCCTGAGCTTTCTAACCTGATACTGAAAAACTGGCTTCATTGTCATTTTCGTTAAATGTTGAATTCAACAGAGAAAAGTTGATTTTCAAATGGTTCTCACGCATACATTAGTAGAAAAAATACCCAATGCATCATAAAGGGTATACAGCATGTATATCCATCACTATCATAAACAGTTTTATCTCATTACTAAAATATTTGATGTAATGAATTATTTTATCTTTGAGCAGTATTAAGAATGAAAAACCTGTTGAAGCAAAAGGAAATTATATAAAATTACAAAAAGATTAATAGAAGTAAGTTTTTCATATCATTTTTGCTGCATTTATTATGTGGTATAAATTTTGCTATTAGTTTCACCTTTTATAACCATTGTTTAGTAATACATATATAACTCATATTAACATATACATATAAGTGATATTATCAGCATTGTTGTATGGTTTCATATGTAATGTAGTTGACACCCTTACCTACTTTCACTAGTAATTTATATACCTTTTAAGGTAAGCTAGTGCAAATGAAATGATGTATATTTTTCAGTCTATGTTTTGTAAGGTAATATATTACATGATGATTTTGTTGTAGCACTACATTTTAAGCTCCACATTTGAAGAAAAAATTGGGAAGCTATTGTCATGACCCATTTTACAACATCTGCATTGGATAATCTTATTTAGTCATTAACTTCATTAACATTAATGATAACAATGCTATTTCGCTGAAACTTAATAATTATGTGGTCTCATCTTGATGATGTATACCTGTCACACCTATTTTCAGGTCAGTCAAAGGTCAATGTCACTGTTTTCAGGTCTGTCAAAGATCAAGGTCACTGGGACTTGTAATAATAAAACATAAAACTGACCTTTAAATCAAAGTGCATTGACCTCAAAACTAGATGCTACTTAACTAGTTCTACCCAACATACACATTCTAGTTTGAAAGGTCAAGGGTACAATGACATTAGTTAACTGTTTTGATCAAGGTTTTGTTCATTTACTTCATTTATGTCATTAAAACTGGATTTATGGATGCATCTTGGAGAATTCTGCCTGCCATGACCATTTTCGGGTGTCCTGTCCATGGCAGAGTGGTTAAGTTTGTTGACTTCAAACCACTTGCCTCTCACTGCAGTGTCTTTGGATACTTTCATATAAGGAATATCCGTGGTTCTAAGATGCCTGTTTGTGCCTGAAATAATGTGCTATATGACTTATACTGTGTTGGTGCAACATAAAACCAAACAACCCCCCCCCATACCCCACCCCCACTTCTCATCAATGATAGAAGTGCAATCTTTTGTTCAAATGTACTGAGAAAAGTGAAATGTGCTGCTCCATGGACAGCTCTTGTTTCAGTATTATTGTAAGATAAAGGTGATTTGGAAAAATTTTCTTGATACAAAAAGAAGTTCTTTTTAGCTTTTGTATAATATGATGATGATATATAATTTAATATGTGCCTTTTACAGCAAAAGTCTTTGAATGTTACATTTATGTTTCTGATAACTTTTCTTTTTAAGTAAGAATTGTTTTCAAAATAAGTATTATTCATGTATTTTAGAACAATTTATGTACATTAATTTAAAACTGCATATACAAATAGTAGGACATGAGAAATTATATTGGCACAGCTGTCACGTGTTTTAAACATTAATATACATGTATTTAACCCCTATATATATTTTTTTCCTTGCCTACTAAAGGATGTACCATTTACACCAGTAAGTGCGCTTTATGTTTTTAATATCTAACTGGAGTCATGGTTTGGTGTAATGCTGCTTTTGAGGGTTGACTGCAAAACTGCAGTAACCTATATTAAATAAAGAAAGACTTACAACAGTTTTGCGGTCAACCCAAGTTTTGTGTTGTGATGCTCACCTTGCAAAATATCCTAACAGGGGAAGTAATTGAGATGACAGTTGTAATATTTTCTTTGTAGTTATCTCCCTTGATAAAAGCACTTAATTCTCTAGGTAAGAATAAAACAAAATAGCTTTTAGATACTCTTACTCTACTTAATAGCATTGTATAAATTCAGTGAACTTTAACACTTTCCCTAGTTGTATTTAAATGTTGTGATTGTTGCTGGTATTATAGTACAGAAACTGACAGCTAACTTGTAATAAGAGATATGATCTTAAGCCTTCCAATCCAAAGATAAATGATGTTGAAGGCTAGATGGGAGATCAGAAATTAACATATGTTCTTAGGCTTTTATCAGTTCCTTGAAAAATTTTAGTTTTATAGGTTAATTTTCATGAAAACACATGGTTGGGTAAGTTTTACCCAATCTAGTGCTGCAAGTTTAATCTCGTCTGGTGAGAACCGCTGCAATTACCAGGTCTGTTGAGAATTGCTGCAAATTTTACCCGGTCTGTTGAGAATTGCTGCAAATTTTACCCGGTCTGTTGAGATTTGCTGCAAATTTTACCCGGTCTGTTGAGATTTGCTGCAAATTTTACCCGGTCTGTTGAGATTTGCTGCAAGCTTTACCCAGTCTGGTGACATACGCTGCAAGTTTTACCCAGTCTGTTGAGGAACACTTCAAGTTTTATGCGGTCTGGTAAGAAATGCTGCAAGTTTTACCCAGTCTGGTGAGAAATGCTGCAAGTTTGACCCAGTCTGGTGAGAAATGCTGCAAGTTTTACCCAGTCTGGTGAGAAATGCTGCAAGTTTGACCCAGTCTGGTGAGAAATGCTGCAAGTTTTACCCAGTCTGGTGAGAAACACTTGAAGTTTTACCCAGTCCATTGAGAAATACTGCAAGTTTTACCCTATCCCAACTGAATTTGTTGTATTAAACTGATCCTGCTTTGAATTTGGGACTGTCCATTGCTAGGTTTAGGGATCTCAGTGTCAAAATATAAAAGTTGAGCAGCCTTATTGTATAGATGTTTGTCATATTGCTTGCTTGTATAGACTGACCTTGCTCATTATCAGTGACATAGGACTGTTGTTGTTGTTGTTGTTGCTAGAGTTCAATACAGGTCATAATAGGAGTTTCCTGGATCTCATGCAATATAAGTCTGACAGCAAAATCCTCACTTAGACCATGTCATGAATGCATGATATTTTCCTGAGGGGTAGTGATAAAAATATAAGTAATGAGTATATGAGTTTTTTTTTCTGGAAGCTCTACATTTCCATGGTATATGAAATCAAATGAATTGAATTATACTGTTTCCAGCTAAAAGTTGTGTCTATATAGGTTTGATGAAAAATCATTCATTAACATACTACATGTACTAATATATGGCTATGGCAAACTTAATTTTGGTTAACAATGTTTTTTTTTGTAAATTGTTTATTTTTCCGCTTTTTTTCCCCAAAACTATTATAGTAACATACTATTTATAGATTAAGTTAAACAAAAAGATATTGTATCATAGTTTGGGGACCTTTCTGTTGAAAATGTGTCCGAGTTAAATCGTATACATATACATGATGCACCGTGCGTTAGTTACCCACACTCCAGAGCATGCCCATTGATTGGCTCATTTTTGCTTGGGTTTACTTATTGTGATGGCAGAGAAAGGGAAAGCTACAGAAATATCATATTCAGATGCTCGTTCATTGGTAACTTTTCTCTGGGGTTTCATATTGTGACAACAGGGAACGTGTTTTTATGTTTGATTATGATATAAAAGAGAAAGAACATCAAAACACTCGGCAATCTGATTAATACTCGGGGGCTATGCCACCTCGTACAAATCAGATAGCCTCGTGTTTCGATGCTCTTTCTATTACGTAGAAGCTTTGTAACCAGTGCAGATCAAGATCAGGCAGCATTTAGAACTTTGAATTATTTTCTTTCCATATTGAAAACTTTGCTTTTTGTTTTGCGTCCAAATATTTTGTGCACATATGTATTAATTTTACCTTTGATATGAAGAAGTATTTATATAATAATAATATTATATGATTAAAGAAATATCTTTTATGGAAAAGATTGCCAGATTAGTTGAATAAATTGTAACATATGTGAAGCATTTATTATCTTTTTTACTAATCATGTGCCAAGTAAGGAATCAATGAGTTATATATTCCAATAAATCTGTTTTATTTGTCAGTTTAACCCAGGTCATAAAATGTTTTCTAGATAAAGTATGAAATGTAGTCTGAATCTTCTCGACCTAATTACTTCACAGAAAAAAAGGAACAACAAACAAACTGTTTTGAACAACATTCTGTTGTAACTTCCGATATTAAATTTTGTCCTTGGGATTATTCCTATAGATTTTTAATTTGCTTGTCTTGCTTGAACATAATTGTGTTAAAATTTAAGTTCTGAGATATTCTTTGTTTTCCCAAAGGCTGCGATAACTTCCCAGAAGTCTCCAGGAGGTATGATACCACTAAATGAAGGTCGGTTCCTGTTACATGTCACTACATTGGAAGAGCTGGTTCCCTTCCTGTATGTCTCTGTACTAGAAAGTGGACCCTATATTGATAAATTGCCAGAAACCATGGCTTCTTTGGCAGATGGTGAATGTAAGTTGAAATGATTTTTTAAAAGACACAAGATGCCTGAGAAAAAATAAATTTTTTATTCTTTAAAAATGGCAAATATGAGTTTTATAATGTTTTAATAACAGTTTTTGAGCTGATGATGATGTTAGACTATTTTCGCTTCAAGAAAGAAGCACTGACTGTGAAATCATTTGTCATAAAAGAAGCAAAATGTTAACAAAGTAGTATTTTGCTTCCCTACAAAATACTAAATCACTAATATAGCACCAAATGCCAAAAAGCAACAGAAGCAAAAGATGATTCAGGTAATTTGCCAATGAGTAACTTTTTTGAAACTATAACATGACTCCAAAATATAAAAGCTTTTAAAGAAATAGAAATAAAAGAATTTCTGGGACATAATGGGTCTTTAAAGGAAAAAATATAGCATTGTTAATTATGTAAAATAATGGTTGTGACAATGGTTTGTAATTCAGCCGATTAATGCATAAAATTTGCATCAGCTATGATGTTAAAACCGATTGTCAAGTTATAATAGTTTCACAAAAATTATTTTGCACTTAATCCTTTTGGTTTGTCATTGATGTGCAATTATTTAAAAGCATCAGAGAATGATTCTTTTTTGTTGGGTTTTAAGTCACACTAATATTGTAAATGTCATATGGCAGCTTTTCAGCTTTATTGGTTGAGGAATACTTCTGTTAGGTATTCCTGTGTGTATTTTTTTTCTGCTGGAGTAGTAACTCCTTCTGTAAGGAATTAAAGAAATTAATATTTATAAAATTCCTTTTTTTAGATGTAACAAGAAATTACCTACATTTTTCTATTTTTAGCCACTGCAAGGATCACAAGGTCAAAGTCACCCCTCACAGATATGACCATAATTGCAGGAAACAGAAAACGATTGGTTGCTATGGTGAAACTGTTTGAAGAACACATTGATCAAGAATGGTTCGAGCCCTGGGATAACCTCAGCTGGGTTGTAAATAATTTGTAAGTTTAAAATCTATACTTCAGTTATGTTAGTTTTTTTAGTGATTTCAGCATTTTTTTTTGGACAAATGATTAAAACCATTCACAATGATACACACCTATAGAGGGCTAGCATGACAAAGGTTTGTTTTACTTAGGCCATAGGTAACAAAAAATCATTTTCATATTCAAAAATGATAAAATTAATATTGCAACCATAGGAGAATGAAAGCCAAATGCCCTGATGCAGCACTGATGGATTTTGCTAACTTAAAAGGAGTTATGCTTATTACTTGTAGAAAGTAGCACTGAATGTGAAATTATTTGTCATGAAGGTAGCAAAGAGTAAACAACATACTAGTATTTTGACTTCTGTACAAAATAATAAATCACAATAACTAACTAAAAATATCCTAAAAAGCAACAGACGTGATAAATGATTCAGATGATTGGCCAATGAGTAACGTTTTGGAAACTATAACAGGACACCAAAAACAAAAGAAGCTTTTCAGGAATAAAAATAAAAAAAAGTATTTCTGGGACATAATGGGCCTTTAAATGATCATGTAAAAATAACACAACACACACACACACACACAGATTGTGTTTATCGGTTAACAGTTTTGTGCTTTAACAAATTAGTGAGACACCCACATACCACAAGGGAGTCTGCTTAACACAAACCAACTATCAGGAAAAAACTAAACCAGTATTGATTACTTTTTTTTCCTAACAACTCTTACTACTCTTACTAAAGATAAAAATTATATCATTTTTATGAAGAATTGTAAATTTGATTCATTGTTAGTTTGATACAAATAAACTAGTGGCTTACCTTGTTATATGTTGTTGAATCAATATGAGAATTAAGGTCTAGTTGGCCAATACCTTGGTGTTGCATATGAATCAAAGAATTGGGGTCTAGTTGGCCAATACCTAGGTGTTGCATATCAATCAAAGAATTGGAGTCTGTTTGGTCAATACCTAGGTGTTGCATATAAATCAAAGAATTGGGGTCTAAGTTGGCCAATACCTAGGTGTTGCACATCAATCAAAGAATTGGGGTATGTTTGGCCATTATCTAGGTGTTGCATATTAATCAAAGAATTGGAGTCTGTTTGGCCAATACCTAGGTGTTGCATATCAATCAAAGAATTGGGGTCTAGTTGGCCAATACCTACGTGTTGCATATAAATCAAAGAATTGGAATCTGTTTGGCCAATACCTAGGTGTTGCATATTAATCTAAGAATTGGAGTCTGTATGGCCAATACCTAAATGTTGCATATAAATCAAAGAATTGGAGTCTGTTTGGCCAATACCTAGGTGTTGCATATTAATCTAAGAATTAGAGTCTGTTTGGCCAATACCTAGGTGTTGCATATCAATCTAAGAATTGGAGTATGTTTGGCCAATACCTAGGTGTTGCATATCAATCAAAGAATTGGAGTCTGTTTGGCCTATACCTAGGCTTTGCATATCAATCAAAAAATTGGAGTCTGTTTGGGCAATACCTAGGTGTTGCATATTAATCTAAGAGTTGGAGTCTGTTTGGCCAATACCTAGGTGTTGCATTTTAATCTAAGAATTGGAGTCTGTTTGATCAATTCATAGGTGTTGCATATAAAGTCTGATTGGCCACTATGTAGGTTTTGCATAGAAATCAAAGAGGTCTGTTTTGCTTAACTGAATTCTTACATGTCAGGTGTACACTCATTTCCAAAAATTGGCCATTAGAGATACTCAAGAGCCTTGCAAATGTGGGGTTTTCCCATGTCATCCCAGGGTACAAGAAACTTTTACAGTTACACATTGGTAAATAAGTGTAACATGAAGCCAATATGGTTAACCTATAAGATAAGATTAATACCAAATAGTTGCCGAGTTCTAGATAACATTTATTTTAGAGAACCAGTTAATTTAAATTCTTATTATATCAAGAGAATAACATTTTATGTAAGGGTTGACTGCAAAACTGTAGTAACTGCCATAAAATAAAGGAGGACTTACAACAGTTCTGCAGTCAACCCTTGAAATACTGATAATTAGAAATGGTTTCAGATTTTACACAAAAAAGATCTATTTCTTTTATTTCATTAGAGCAATAGTTTGTAAATCAGCTTGTTAGCCCAAAATCCACGTTCTGAAATTAGTAATAGTATGGTAAATTAAATATGATTATGCATGATTAAGCCGCATGTATTCTGCATTTGCTTAATTCATTTTTAAGCCATTCGTACATTTGTTATCTATTTGTGAAAGCTTTGTATAAGATCAAATATTTTAAGACATTTTCATCTATGTCTGCATCAACTTTCTTCCACTAGTTTCTATTTGTTTATGTATTACTTTTGTATAATGTAAAATACAATAGTTATTCTAGAGATAGAATAAAGCTCAGCATAATTTGATATTGTAGTCTGGGCTTGTTGACCAAGTTACCAGTAACCTTATTGTAGATAGTTGTAAAGTTAAATATATATATTTATATATGATTGTAATCTTTATCATTAAAACATTATTTCCCATTGGAGTTTCATGTCAAAATGGTATTTTATGTTGCGAGTTTTCCCCGTCTGTGAAGGCACAAAACTACATACTTTTGATGTAAGATTTAATCACATTGTTAAACGATTCTTTTATTGCAACACAGCTTCCCATTATTTTCGATCACTTTAGAGGAAAATTGTTTGGCCTATAATTTTCAAGTCTTTTGATACTCTAAAATATACCCAATTATTCTCAGTGTGATAGCAAGTCCAGGCTTTAAAGGAAATTTAAGTTCAAACTAACCTCCTCCGTGGTCGAGGGGTTTGGATCGATGACTTTCAATCCAGTTACCTCTCTGGCGTGGGTTTGATCCCCGGGAGATGGTTTGGTAGTTTAGCACAGAGGAAGGTAGTCTTGTACTGGTGTAACTCTCCAGAAATGATGGTAAGGAAACTACCCGCCTATATGACTGAAATACTGTTGGGAAAAGGCGTAAAATGAAACAAACAAACAAACAAACAAAAGTTCAAACTATTTAGAGGTTAATATTTGGTTGCTGCTTGCCATTTTCCGCTCTCTCATGATTCCCCTAAAAGTGAAAAAAAGCATTTAAGTTTCAAATCAACTAGATGTTGATGACTTTCTTTGCCCTGTATTGTTGATGTTTCTAGTTATGTCTCCCCCACCTCGGGGGGAGACATATTGTTTTTGCCCTGTCCGTCCGTCCGTCAGTCCGTCCGTCCGTCAGTCAGTCAGTCCGTCCGTCCATTCTTCGTTTCCGGACGATAACTAGAGTTCCTTTTGACCTACAGCTCTCAAACTTCATAGGATGAATGGTCTTATTGAGCAGATGATCCCTATTGTTTTTGGGGTCAGTAGTTCAAAGGTCAAGGTCACAGTGACCGTTGGTCAATTTCTCGTTTCCGGATGATAACTAGAGTTCCTTTTGACCTACAGCCCTCAAACTTCATAGGATGATTGGTCTTATAGAGCTGATGATCCCTATTGTTTTTGGGGTCAGTAGGTCAAAGGTCAAGGTCACACTGACCGTTGGTCAATTTCTCGTTTCCGGATGATAACTAGAGTTCCTTTAGACCTACAGACCTCAAACTTCATAGGATGATTGGTCTTATTGAGCAGATGATCCCTATTGTTTTTGGGGTCAGTAGTTCAAAGGTCAAGGTCACAGTGACCGTTGGTCAATTTCTCGTTTCCGGATGATAACTAGAGTTCCTTTTGACCTACAGCCCTCAAACTTCATAGGATGATTGGTCTTATAGAGCAGATGATCCCTATTGTTTTTGGGGTCAGTAGGTCAAAGGTCAAGGTCACAGTGACCGTTGGTCAATTTCTCATTTCCGGATGATAACTAGAGTTCCTTTTGACCTACAACCCTCAAACTTCATAGGATGATTGGTCTTATTAATCAAATGATCCCTATTGTTTTAATGGTCAGTAGGTCAAAGGTCAAGGTCACAGCGACCGTTGGTTAATTTCTCCTTTCCGGATGATAACTAGAGTTCCTTTAGACCTACAACCCTCAAACTTCATAGGATGATTGGTCTTATTGAGCAGATGATCCCTCTTGTTTATGGGGTCAGTAGGTCAAAGGTTAAGGTCACAGTGACCATTGGTCATACGCTGATTGAATAACCAGGATTTTCAAAATTGAATACCTGGTTAAAAACAAACAGTTTAGGAAGCATCTTCTCATACAACCTTAACAATAGAAACCATCCATAGACAGCCTTCATTGAAGTGACTACCGGGTATTTACATTATCTTATCTCCATTTCCATTCCTGTTTCCATTCACAGTTATTCTCAGCAGTGGGGGAGACATGCGCTTTTTTACAAAAGCATCCTCTAGTTTTTCATTTGTTTCACATTATCTTATGGTTTCTAAAGATTTATCTAGAGATATTATAAGCCCTAGAATCTAGATTTATACATTACAAGTTAATTCTTTGGCTTACAATATTTATTTTTTTTTTTTTGCTGTCTCAATCATGCCTACAGCATAAATCAGATCTACTTTAATATGAAGTCATATTAGGAATTTATGCTGGTCACTTTTTGGCTTTAAAAGCACAGTTATTGGATTTTGTTTTCAAGTTTAGAGATAATTATTCATTGTTTAACTGCATTGATGTTCTAGCACTTTCTGATTGACAAAGAACACTGTCTTTATAATTTGCAAAGAATACTTTATTATTTACAAAAAACACTTTCTCATTTACAAAGGACATTTTCTTATTTGCAAAGAACACTTTCTTATTTACGAAGAACACTGTCTTTCTCATTTAAAAAGAACACTTTATTATTTGAAAAAACACTTTCTCATTTACAAAGGACATAATTATATTCTTTTTTGCAAAGAACACTTTATTATTTACAAAGAACACTTCTCTTTTAAAAAGGATATTTTCTTATTTATAATTAGAACACTTTCTTATTTACAAAGGACATTTTCTTATTTGTGAAGAACACTTTATTATTTACAAAACACACTTTCTAATTTACAAAGGACATT